CAAGTGAGCGCAACGGGGCGATACTATGCCAATCCGAAGCCAGGAACCTCTTCTGGGTCTCCCACTCGGGTGCAGGTTCCCAAAGCTTTGGGCCGTCCTCGACTGCCTTCCCGGGCCACAGGCAGGGAGCTGGAAGGGAAGTGGGGCTGCTGGGATTAGAACCAGCGCCCATATGGGATCCCGGGCGTGCAAGGCGAGGACCTTCAACCACTTGCGCCACCGCGCCGGGCCCTCTTTTTTTCTCTTTTTTTAAAGATGTGTTTATTTTTATTGGAAAGGTAGACTTACAGAGAGAAGGAGAGACAGAGAGCAAGGTCTTCCTTCTGCTGGCTCACTTCCCAAATGACTGCAATGACCAGAGCTGGACTAGTAGAAGCCAGGAGCCATGAGCTTCTTCCAGATCTCCCACATGGGTGCAGGGTCCCAAGGCTCTGGTCCATCCTCTACTACTTTCCCATGCCATAAGCAGGGAGCTGGATGGGAAGCAGAAAAGTCAAGATGCTCATATGGGATGCTGGCACTTGGAAGTAAGGGATTAGCCAGCTGAGGCGTTTTGCTTTTTTCTCAGACCAACCAATCAGCAGACCACTTTCTGATTGGTGCACAATCCAAAGCATCCAATTACCTTAGATGGCACACAATACAAAGTATCCAATCAACTTAAGTTCAAATTTAAGCCTATCAGCTAGCAAGCACGTTTATGGCAAATAGCTTCCTTTAGCTCTGCCCAAAACTTAGTCAAGGAACCCAAATGGAGTCACATCTGCCCACTGCTAGGGGATGTTTTCATCTGGATACATCGCGCCACACTTCCGATCCCAAGGAGACACTTAAACCACAAACACACCCAGCACCACGCTAGCCCATAGTTGGCTGGCTGATCATATTCTATGGGCCAAAGCAGGCCAAAGGCCCAGTCCTACGTGAGTGGAAGGTGGAGCCAGGGCAAGGGAGGAGATGGAGAGAACTATGGCTACCCTGTATCACCTACTAGCTCAGTAAATTAGGACAGTGAAGTGAGCAGAGGGTTGGGAAGCGCAGGGTCTGTGCACACTGCAGCAGTGGAGGTCGAGCCTACCTGGATCCAGATGGGGAGCCAGTGTGCCCCCTCTTCCATGCTGCTCATGCATCCATCCCAAGCGCTTCAGCACCAAGCAGTGACACCCCGTGTCTGCACTTATGGGTCTGCCTGCCTGTCCCTGTTACTAAGCAACTGGGAAGAGTTACAGACACTTTGGCCACCTCTCCCTGCCTCCACACTCTTCCTTCACCCAAAATACATGCAATTGACCCACCTTTGTGAACAGATCAGTTAGGGATGCATTGCCCAAATCCGAACCTGGTCATAACTCTTTCTGCCCACCACCATGCCCTTTAGTGACCACAACCAACCAGTCCCATAACTGGCATTCATCTTCCTCAGTGTCTCATGAGCCACACCCCACTGTCACATACCTGTTTCAGACAATCGCAGTTCCTCTCTCTCTCTGAATGACCAGTCCCTCCAGCAACCACCATCCATCCTGCTGCCACATTGTGGTCACAGCCATTGCTCCAAAATGCAAATTTGTTCCTCAGCGCTTGAAACTCTTCCAGGATAAAAATTCTTTGCAGAGCCCATGCCTGACTCCCAGTACAAGGGCCAGTACGCTTTCCTTGGGTTCCCTGTGCAGCCAGCCCCCAGACCACCAAACATGCTCTCCTCTGGCCCCTCTCCTCTGTCTACACCCATCCTCTGCCCTTGTCTGCTTGACTGGGCTCTTGGCTTGGCCATCACTTCCTCCAGGAAGCCAACCTGCCTTGAGCCAGACCTCCCAGGCTCAGTCACATGTCTCTCCCTCTTGTTTCCCACAGCACCCACACTTTCTGCACCCCTTTCCTTGTGCTGCATTTGCTGTGAACTGGAGTTTCTGGAGGACAAGAATGAGATCATTCCTTCTGTGCTCACAGTGCCTGTCACAGCGAAGCCCGGTTGTCTTCAGAAAGCAAGGACAACAATCAGGTACGATATGGGTTGCGTGGGGGAAGATTAGTTGAGATAATATATGGAAACACATGGTAGCACTTATCATAACATTGCAGCCATCAAACCCAAGCAAGCGTGATGCTATCAGACCGCTTCAGAAAGGGTGTTAAGGGGCCACAGCACCAGGAGTTTTCACAAAGACACACTCCTGTCGCCAGCCCTGGAAAGCACATTCCGAAGCTTAAATCTCTGCAGAAACCCACTGCCGCTTCTGTCCTGGCACTTGGCAGACAGACAGATCCATGCTCTGTCACCTAAAGGTTTTTTTTAAATACTTACTTTTATCGGAAAAGCAAATCAGATTTACAGAGAAGAGAGACAGAGAAAAGGATTCTCCATCTACTGACTCACTCCTCAGAGGGTCCCAAAGCCGGAGCTGAGCCAACTCGGATCTGAAGCCAGGAGCCAGGAACTTCTTCCAAGTCTCCCACGTAGGTAAAGGACCCCGAGGCATTGGGCTATCCTCCACTGATTTCCCAGTCCTTTATCAGGGAACTGGATGGGAACTGGATGGGAAGTGGAGCAGCCAGGACACGAACTGGCACCCATATGGGATCCCCGGGCTTGCAAAATGAGGATTTAACCTTTGAGCCATCGCGCCGGGCCCCACCAACAGATTCTGTTATCGATATTGTCCAGGACAGCTTGTCGCAGCTGCATCCTCAGCTCCGACCATACTGCCGGTAGACAGTAGACGCTCAATTTTAAATTTGCAGAGGAATGAATGCGAAATCGGTATTTTCACTGCTGGAAATTCCTAGGGGCTGCGGGGGCCGGGTGGACTGTTCCTTCGCCTTCCTCACCGCCCCACACCCCGCCGCCCTCAGGTGAAGCAGCAGCGCCGGGCGGGGCTGGGGGCCTTAACCGTGCCAAACTCGTCCCCACCCCCACCCGCGGCGGGACCCTCCTCCACCTCAGGGTTTTTGCCTTACCCCAGCGCATGTACTGACGAAAATAATAATGACAGTAGAAATAACAGCCTCCTACACCCTCTGCTTTCCCGAGGGCACCCCTGTCCCGCCGGCTCGCTCATGAACCCCGACCCCACCCGCACCCAAACGACCTTAGCGACACCGGCTCTTCAGCCAGGGGACGCGCCTCCCGTTTTTTCCGTTTGCTTCATTTCACTCAAGAAGTTGAGGCTGCGAGAGAATGACCCGGCCGCCAGAATCTCCCACCTGGTCTCCTGCGTGTTTGCCCAAGGTGTCTCTGCCCTGAACGCCTGAGCCGCCGAAGGCGTGCCTGGCACTGCTGTGGGCGCTGGGCACCAGATCGTGAACCGAAGTTCCCGCAGAAACTGGCACCTGGCCTTGGCCGCCAGAAAGGACCCTCGCACAGGCACGGCCTCTCCCAAGGGTGCCGGGATGGGGAGGTGTTCGGTGCCTTCTCCCAGACCCTGACCTGGACGGCTTTGCCCCATTTCGTAGACAAGGAAATTGAGACGCCGCCTCCCCCCGAAAAAAAAGATAAAAAAACAAACAAACAAACCGCCGAGCTGGGATTCGAACCCCGCGCAGTCTGCCACGCCTGAGCTCTGTCCAGCCCGCTTTGCGCGTCACCTCCTTCCTCCAGCACGGTGACCCTAACTAGGCACCTGCTGGTACCGCCAACACCACCACTTCCAACTCACATTGACTATCCGTTCCACTTAGCCCTGTTTTGGGGAGGGAGAATTTTCCGAAAGATCGCAGGGAGCTGTGTTCAGCTTAGGGTCCGGGGTTACAGACCCCCCCACCCCTGCACGGCGTTAGGGACCCGGGCCGCCCCGCCCCCTCCCCTGCGCGGCCGGGCCGGCGCTGCCTCTGTCCATGGTCAAAGCACCCGGGTAATCCGCCTTTCTCTTCCGCCCGCCAGCCCCATTCATATTCTAATCACAGCGCGGCCGGCCCGCGAACGGCCACTTTATCGGGGCCCGCAGGAGATGCAGCCTCCCCCCACCAACTTCCACTTCCAGCGTCTCCACCCCCACCCCCCCAGCCTCTGTTCCCCCTCCCGCCTCGTCCTGCACTTTAAACTCCGCCGGGGCGGGGGTCCCTGGGAAAACCGCGTCCCCACCCGGCTTCTCGCAAACTTTGCGGCCGGCTGGGGGCACCGGGAGGGGAGGGGAGAGCGGGTCGGAGAGGAGGTGGGGGTGGGCGGAGGGAGGGAGGGGCTGCGACCGCCACGGACGGACGGACAGAGTTACGGGAAGAGGCGGTGCGGGTGGGTACGTGGTGCGGGGAGAGACAGAGACAAAGAGACGCGGGGGGCCGGGGCTGGACAGAGCCACAGGCGGCCAGACAGGGAGGGAGGGACAGGGAGCGACAGAGAGGAGAGACGCGCGGAGCGGGGACAGTCAGCGAAAGGGGGCCGAAGGCCCGGGCCCCAAGGAAGGCAGAAAGTTCTGGAGGAGCCAGCCCCAGTCCCTCACCCCCTGTCTGCCAGACGGCCTTGTGGTCGCTCGGGGTTGTCGAGGTCTTTAAGACTTCCGTTCCCCTTCCCCGTTCGCTCCCAGCGGTGCGAGCCACCTCTCCCACGCGTGTCCGCGGGTCATCGTGGAAGGGAATCAGAACAGGCACCCTTCCTAGTTCTAACCCAAGGCGAAAACGGGAGGGGGACACAGGAGGAAGGGGAGTGGGGCCCCCACTCGTGGCCGCGCGGGTGGCTCCCCGGGCTCGCCGAGTCTCCTGCCACTCTACCCCCCCCACCCCGCCATCCCCCACCTCCCACCTCCAGGCCTGCGCGGCGCGGGGCCCGATCCGGGGAGGGACCGGCGGGGGGAGGGGGCCACATCTAAGCCAATTTTGATTTCGCCTATAATGAGTGCCGGGCGAAGGCTGGAGAAGGCCTCTGGAACTTTAAATAAGAAAAACGTTGCTAATGCTATAATAGAAGGGGGAAGTCGGAGGGCTGGGATTGCGTCGCTCGGAGCCCCCCTTTTCGGAGGCCGCTTTTCTTATTCAAAACAGGCCCACAATGGGCTTCACAGTGCGCCTCGCCACGGCCCCATCTGACGAGCGGCCATTCATCAGGCCGGCTGGCCTATCAATGACATTGCTCCCGTCGGGGCTCCTATAAAATGATGCTTTTTCCCATGAAACATCCGCAAACATTTTGACGGGTTTGGCTTTGCCCGGCTGGATTACTGAGTGTCCCTTGCTCGCTCGCGCTCTCTACCTTCTCTACGCGCTCTCCCTTCCCTCTTTTTTTCTTTCCTCTTCATTCTCTTTCTTGTTCTTTCCTCTTTTATCCGTGAGCCCTCTCATCCTGAGCATCTCTCTCTTTTCCTTCTCCTCTTCCCTCACCCGCTTCCTCCCTGGGCATCGCTAACACAGGGAATCCCCACACATCAGGATTCGGGGGGCGCCTGCGCTTTCCATGGGAAGAGCATGCATTGTGGGTTACTGGAGGAACCCGACATGGATTCCACAGGTTAGTCCTACCGGGAAACGGGTGGGGAGGTATCGGAGGGGAGGAGAAGGGAGGAAGGAAACTTTGGAACAGAGTTGCCAAAAGTTCAGATGGGTCAATTTGAGAGTAACCCAAAGAAATCAGGCAAGAGCGCGCAGTTTTATTTTTAATCCCGCGCGAAGCAAGTGGATGATGCGTGCAAGCATGTATATATGTGCCCGTGTGCTTGCGTGTGTGATCGTGGGTTTGCGAGAGTGTGTCCGTGTGTGAGTGCGCGCGCGCGCGCGCCAAGGAGCGCGCTTTCACTTGCCCAGGCCACAAAGTTACGTAAAGATGCCCTGGCTTGCGGCGAGCTCGAGGTGCCACTGGCAGGAACTTTGCAAGCCGACCGCCTCCTCTCGGGCCCGGCTCCTCCCCGGGACTTGGGGGCCCCCGGAATAACGGTGCTCTCGGGATCTGGTGGCCAGGTCTGGGAAGCCAGGCGGAACGCCCCCGAGGCGGGGGAAGGTGGCGGCGGCTTCGCTCTGAACCTTAGGAGGTGGGGACCCGAGGCTCTGGCTGCCGGAGACGCTCAGCTGGAGGGAGTGGCGGCAGCAAGCCCGGTGGTCCCGAGGAATCCGCTGAGTCCGGGGGTGGGAGCCCTGGGCTGCTGCCTTCCCACTGGCGAGGGCACCCCTCGACGCGCTGCGCTGGCTGAGCTGTGACCTTGCCGCAGGGGAGGGCAGGGCGCGGGACAGCCTGCCCGGCCCGGCGTTGGGGTTTGGAGACTGCTCCGTGGTCTGGAGGCTGCCGCGGGTGGGGCGGCCGGTTGTAGGGGCCCGGCGGTGGGAAACGATGCAAGAAGAAAGTCAAGGAATTTCTTCCAAGAACACTGCTAGGCGTCTCGGTTCTAGTAGACTCCTCGCTATCACCTTGCACTCTGTCCCGGCACCTAGAAAGAGCCTCTCGGCCTCTGCGTCCCGGTTGCGCTTCCTATGGTCCTCCTCTCCTCCCGCACGCCTTTCGCATTCACCCAAACCGGCCGCTCGTCCCCCCTCCGACACAGACTTGGAGTTTCTGGGGGGTGGGGAGGCTGAGGTCCGGAGCTGCGGAGCTGCGGCGAGGCGATGGGGACCGAGGGCTGCGCCCAGACGACCGCTGGCCTCGGAGCTCCGGAGAGTGCCGGGAAACTCGAGCGCCACCGGACCCGGCAGCGCCCAGCAACAAGTGCCTTCTCCACTGGTCGCCCCCTAGCACACCAGAGTCCCTGACTGGAGCAGAAGAGCGAACCCCGCAGGGCTGTCTCCCCACCTCCACTCCCAGACAAGTTAGGAAGAGGCAAGCGATGGGGCGCCAGTCATCCCAGCGATGCTTTTCCCTCTATCCCTGAGGAAAGGTGCCAGGCCCTTCTGGACTTTCCCTGTGCTTGGGGGGCCTATCAGATACTCCCTCCAGCCCCCAACACACAGCGACTGAGCTGCCCCAGGTGGCTGGGAAGGCCCTCCGCGGGGTGGGGGCGGGGAGGTTGAGCCCCTCGGTTCTCCTCGGGGGAGCGTTGACAGCGGCCCTTGCTGGGGTCTTCAGGGCCAGGGCAGGCTGGCGGCGGTAAAGCAGGCAGGAGCCCAGGGAGAGAAAAGACCTCTTCTCGCTTATTTGTTCTGAAGGGCTTTGCACACTGCATTATCCGCACCCCGCCCTCGCTCCCCTCAGCACCCCAAATGCAAAAAGCCCAAATAGCTTAAACAAAATTAACCTCCTCTCTGTGGAGCATATGGTCTAATATCTGCAAGGGGCCGATGTAGCTCTTGAAATCTCCTAGCTCCTCACCCCAACGTGGCCCAGCTGAAGTCTGCGAACTCCCGCTCCCACGCCACCCCACCCGACCCTTCGCTGTAGCAACGGAGGCGCTTTCTGTTCTGCTTCCTGGTAGCTGGTGTTGGGGGGGCGCAAGCAAACACCCTCAGTGGGTTCTGCCTCTAAGTTTTTTCTTCCATCCACCTCTCCTGCCTTCCCCAGGTCGCCATTCTGAACTCTAAACGCAAAGTTTGAGGGATCTGGCAGCGTTGAGAAATGACAGGGGATGACACCCAGTGACATTTCCCTGGGGCTTGCTCCCACCTGTGATCAGGAGAGTGCTGCCAGGGGTGACGGGTCCAGGAGCTTAGCCTCGGGTCCCTCCCCAGGGAATTTAATCCAATTAGTTTTACTCCTGCTTTCCCCCAGTCAGGTAAAGTTCCTCTCCCCGGTTGACTGAGCCTAGCGCTCCACGGAGCTGGTAGACGCAGCTCCTTTCCCGATGAGAAACACGAATATGATGGGCGCAGTCAGGAGGGTCCCGGATCCAGGGGCTGGGCACCCGCGCCACCACCCTCTTTTTACTCTTAACAGGAAAGTCCCCGCTAAGTGTCTTGGGCCCGGCAGGGAATTTTCCTACAGGGGCCAGGGCTCTAGTGGCCTGCTTTGGGGCCACTTCAGCGTGACCTGCGGAAATACGCCCCTTTGTTCTGAGCACCGAGCCGGTAATATATTCCTCGGGTTATTGCAAAATACTCAACAAGTTTAGGGCTGAAGAGAATAGCCCCGTCGGGGGAGGTCGGAGAGCCTCCTGCGCCCCCCGGCTAGCTCACCGCCGCGCCTGCAAAGCCTGTCCCGCAGGCTACTCTGGAGGCAACTCGGGCAGCAGCACAGGCTGCGGGCGCACGCACGCTCGCACGCACGCACGCACCGTGGACCGGTCATCCGGCCAGCGCATGGTTTGCAATCGGTCGAGGGCGCGCGTCACCTAAGCCCCGCGCGGGGCACAAGCGGCTGCTGAATCGCTCGTGGCCTCCCCTTCCCACGCGGGCCGCGCAACGGGTCCAATCCAGGCTACCCAATTTCTGGACGAGCTCAGTTACTCGGGTTGCCCGAAAATTCGAGAACCAGGCGAGGGGAAAGTGGGTAGAATTTTAGGCCTGGGTAAAGCGGCCTGGCGGCCAGGTTGGTCGCCTACGCACCAAAAGGGTCGTTTCTTGCAACCCGGGACAGTGCCTTAGAGAGGCGGTACTGTCCAACTCGATTTGGAAACTTCTGCCTTCACCTATTTTCCACCGGGTCTCCGGAACTCGGAGCTGGAGCGACCTATGTCCTCCTGATCCCGGACTGGAGTCCCCGAGCCGCGTAGGTGGCAGCTTTTGGTGATCTTCAGGCCCCTGGTTCAGCTTTAGACCAATCCTGGACGTGCAGTAATGGCCTTGTTCCAGAGTCCAAGGAGTAGAATGCACCCCGGAGCGAAAATGGCCAGGGCCTCCTCTGTGGTCCCTGGGTGTCCCCGGTCGGGGAAGCTGGCCGGTGGACTGGAGGAGCCAGGGGCCAATGTCTGAGTGGTGCTCCCAAACCCAAACCAGACGCGGCTGTGCGTGTGTGTGGCCGGCGAGGGGGGCATGCATGCCCCCGCCTCTGACACCTGCTAAGTGCTGGCCACTAGATTTGACTACTGGGTCAAATCAAGACTATGGACTATGGACGCGGGATTCCTTGGCCTCGGCTGCCACAGCCCTTGCCGGAAAGACAACCGCACGCAAGCGGGACTCCTAGACCCAACATGCTCTTCCGAGCCGCGGCCGTGGACACCGCGTTTTCCGATTCGGCCCCGCTGGACGCAGAGATCCAGGAAAAGTTTGCCGGTGCTGCCGTGAGGCTCCAGCCTGGGATTTCCTTGGCCTCGCCTGGCCCCCACCCCAGCGCGTCGCCATGGAGACTGCTGGAAGTTGGTGGTGGAAAACAGACCCGGCGCAAAGCAAAATATTATGAGTGCTTCGGGAGGGTGACTTCAGGAGGCGGGGGACCCGCAGGGCAGGAGCGGGATGCAGAGGCCGACAACAAAGGGTCGGATGTGTGGAGCAGAGAGCAGTTGGCGCGGGGCAGAGGGTGCTCCGACTGCTGTGTGAGTGCTGGGTCATCCGGCTTCTCAGAGGGGCCGAGGTCTTTAATTTCTCTCCAGCAGCTACACCTTTTCACAGCCCGCCTGCCAGCCCTGGCTCTTACCCCACGTCCCCGCCTTCCCTCGCAGCCTCCCTCCCTGTCCCCAGGGTAGGCGCCAGCTGGGCAGTATGCCCGCCTCCCTGAGAGCCACAGGCTCACCGAGAGAAAGGTTCTAACTTTTCTTCCCCACGACCCCTTGGGTCGCCCAGGATGAATTTCTCACCACCGCCAACACCCCCGCCCCCCCCCTACACACACATACACATACACAAACCGGATCTGAAAGGGTGATGGGTTAGGATTAGGCCGAAAGAAGAAGGGCATGAGCGTGCCTGACCAGGCGTGGTGGAGTGGGGGCTGGGGAGGCGATCCTGATGGTCCCCCTTCCCATGTACAGCTGGCTAAAGCGCTGGGTTCTAATTCCAACTTGGCAGCTTGTAATGCGGTGTTGGGTCAGCTTCCAAGCCAGGCCAAGATCACTTTTTATTGACTGTCAAATTAAAGGTTGGATAACTCAGGGCCTGGGGCTCTGTGGTAACTTAGACACATCCCTCATTCAAGGGACTTTGTGCAGAATCTAGAAAGCAGTAGGTGAGCAGGTACCACCATCTTTATGACCTGTTACACAATTAGTGAATCACTTCCCAAACTTTTCTTTTAAAAAAGTTTGATGTTGAGGATTTTGAGAACTGTGCAGAACAATTTTTTAAAATCCTAATTCTCTCGATGGCATCTGAGGTGCCTTCCTTGGGTCTTTGGTTTGGCTTCCTGCATCCCAGAAGGAATACATGCCAGACAATGGAATTTTACGGGCCTATCTCCAGTGTAGGTTTAGGAAACCCTGAAATGCTTCTGGAGAATGAAGCTGGCATCATAGACTTTCAGCTGTATTGAACAGGAGACCCTCCATAATGACCAATGTGGTAACTAACATACTGACGTCCAAGGAACACCAGGTTCTACCCATCCATGCTTAAGCTTTTAGAAGGATACAACTCTCTTCCTACAGTTAGCCACCCCAGCAGTGACAATTTGGGCAAAGGATTCCTTTGTGTTCCTTCACTCTACCCCCTCTGTCA